GCGTCAAGCTCTGCTCCAACCTGCTGGTGAAAAACCTCTGCACGAGCGACTTAGTGTTCGACCCAGGTGAGGAGCTGAGATCTCGGGGTGGCCTCTGGTTTCTCTTGTGACTTCAACCCAGCCGGGATGGAACCGTGGAGGGGTTTAAAGCGGCTTTTCTCCCCCTCTACTCTGCTCTTATGAGACACCCCCCCAGCAATACTGCATCCAGCTTTGGAGTCCTCAGCATGAGGAGGATGTGGACCTGTTGGAGCGGGGTTAGAGGAGGCCCCGGAGATGCTGGGAGGGCTGGAGCCCCTCTGCTGGGAGGACAGGCTGGGAGAGTTGGGGGGGTTCAGCCTGGAGAAGAGAAGGCTCCAGGGAGACCTCAGAGCCCCTTCCAGTGCCTAAAGGGGCTCCAGGAGAGCTGGGGGGGGACTCTGCATCAGGGAGGGGAGCGATGGGATGAGGGGGAATGGGTTTAAACTGGAAAAGGGGAGATTTAGACGAGATATTAGGAAGAACTTCTTGGCTGTGCGGGTGGTGAGCCCCTGGGGCAGGTGGCCCCAAGAAGCTGTGGCTGCCCCATCCCTGGAGGTGTTCAAGGCCAGGTTTTCCAGCTGTAAAACTGAATTATAAAAGTAACATTCAATATCTTACTGAAGTTAGAAAATTTATTTTCAGGGAAAAAAATAAAGGTGTTACCAAACCTCACTTCTCTGGGGGCTGTGCCTTGATCTGCCAGAAGAGCCTGTGGGGTTTTTTTTGTCTCGGAAATCTTCCAGTGTACTGTTTTTAAATCCACCTGCTCAGTGTGGGCAGAGATGCTTTGGTCGTAAACCTTTGTTTCTGCCTTGCTTTTTTGGGGGGCTGGAAATCTGCCCGAACCGACTGGCTTGCCGGAAAGCATCAGTGAGGAAGGAAGTTGTAGGTGCTGCTTTCAGATTCCTGAACCTTGTTACGTCTTGAAGACTTTCATGAAGTTAAAAACGGCAGGAAGGAAAGAAGACGAGAAAATGAGAAAAGAGCCTTAACACAAATCACATGAAACTGCTGAAACACTGAATAGAATTGACTCTTGAGCCTGGGGGATTTATAACTCGTACCGAGGGTTCTTTTTTTGGAGGTTGAGGGTTTGGGGAATATTCCCCTGCAAAGGGGTGTTAGTTTGTTACAGACCTCGGGGTTGTAATCTTTTTCGGGTGTTCTCAAAGAGGGAAGGGGTTTGTGCCCGTGTCCCGCAGGGAACGGATGATGTCGGTCCGCTCCGCGGGTCTCGGAGAACTCACGTCTCTTTATCTTCGTCTCCGTGCTGCCAGCTGTGACCTTCTCTGAGGCCCGCCAAGCCGCCCTGGCCTGCCGCGGGGTGGCTCCCATGCCGCGGGAAATGGCTTTCCCTGTGCCGAAGGGAGAGAAGTGGCACGACCTCTACGACTACATCAGGTACGGCTGCTCCCGGCTGCGCTTGAACTGCCGCTCGGAGACCTCCCCCTTCCCCGGGGAAAGGCAGGACGGGTAACGCCTCTTAAGGAATGAGGGATCCAAATAAACCTGGGGCTTGAGTGGAGACATTTTGGTCATCCCAGCTCCAGCATTTAGGGGTCGTTAAGGCATCTACCCTGGGCTAAGCTTGATTGCGCTGACTGTTGTGGTTTAACCCCGGCCGGCAACTCGGATCACGGAGCCGCTCACTCATCCCTCCTTCCCCCTCAGAAGGATGGGGAGAAGAGGGAGAAAGGGAGGGGAAAGGGAAAAGGAAAAAACTCGTGGTTTGGGATAAAGGCAGTTTAATAGAATAATAATGGAAAAGGATAATAATAATAATGGTAAAAGAATATACAGGACACAAGTCACTCTCGCCACCCAGTGAATTGGCACCATCCCGAGCAGTGATGGCGAGTGCTCTTCCCCCCCGGATAACCCCATTTTATGTACTGAGGGTGATATCTGCGGTATGGAATATTGGCCATTCTGTTGTTCCATCTATGCTCCCTCTCAGCTTCTACGGGAAGCTTAAAAAAAAATCCTTGAAAAAATGTAAGCATCACCTGGCAACAATTAAACCAACACGACATTCCTTTCATACCAAACCTGAAACTCAGCAACCG